TCAGCTGTTGATGTTTGTTCAGCAAGGGGTTACTGTTAGATATTTTAATCTCTAAATGGAAAATATATAATTATACTATATTATTCCTATTTAATCCTAGGAAACCAGAGCTGAAAACTATAAAATTGTGAATATTAAGATCAATGATTGATTCCTCTTCTTATTAATCTCAAGATTAATTTCATGTTTGATATGTAACCAGAGATGAGATTTTAAAAGCTTTAACCCGACTAAAACCCAAACTCGGGCTTAGATAAAACCCAAGTCAGGATTGGTTCTGATTCGACCAATGAGAGACTGTGTTGCAAGCTTTCTCTCTGTAGCAAACAGAATGCCGTCAGATCAGCTTTGACAAGGAGATGTAAATTTCGAAAATTCAAACTGTATGTAGATACATTATTTTCATAGTATGTTTATTTTATATAAATAATAAAATTTGACACCACGAATAATTCCCGAGATTTGAAATGTACAAATATAAAAGATTTTACGAAATTTACAATCATCAGCTGCTGAAGACTCAAGCCTTAAAGAGAGTAAAACCCAAGATGGTTGGTTCTTACTAAACTCAAGGCCATCCAAAACCCGGGTCTTGACTTGAGCTTTACTTGGGTCTAAACAGACTGGGGTTTAGTCGGGTTTAAGCTTTTAAAATCTGATTTCTGGTCTAATGTTCGGAGTCGATTCTTTAGTAGGTTGAATATCTTTATAAGCTCTGGTTAACTGTTTTGGATCCTTTCTTACTGCGTTCAGTTTGTTCTTTAAACTCCCAAACTCACTGATGGCATAATCTCCAGGGACTAATAAAATATAAGCAATTTTCTTTTCTTTTTCGATACAAAAAAAACTATGTTTTTGTTCAATAACATCTAGTGGCAATACCTCCCCATTAAAAAATCACAATCTTAATTCTCAAACGTTCATCTTTCATCTGGGATCAATGGAAATAGAACCCCCCTGGCTCAAGATTGGATTCTAGTATTTAATCAGGTACCCATATTTTTTCTATATGAATCATCAATAAACCCCGTTGCATTTAGAAACGCATCTATCATTGATCATGGAATCAAGATGTATGGCCAAGGCCAGATTGATAGTACTACTAAAGATATCTCCATCACTTTCTTCTCCTCCCTGCTCATCATCCTGTCATCCGGACATTATCGTTTGTTAATCTAATTAAGTCTCAAAGCCCAAAAAAGATACAAGATTGAATATTTCTCAGCCTAAGACGTCTGAGAAACTTTTCAATAAAAAATCAGATCTGTAATAACTTAGCAAGGCGGACCAGAACCCTGCAATCTTTCTCCCATTATGATCGGTCTGAAATGAAAAATCTACAGTGACAGGTTCAATCTGAACAATCAGAAAAAAATCATCAGTTTCAGAAAATAAAGAATAATGAAATATTTTGTGTATATATTTTATGTATATATTCCACAGGAGAACACAGCCCTTTTTATTTAGACTAAACAAAAGTATCATGTGATTTGGTCCTTTCAGTATGAATAAAAATACCAACAATGGATAATGCACATACCTCGTTATTCCAAAGCCAAACAATTAGTTTATCCGTCTAAATCTTTTTTACTTATTCAGAAAGAATTTTTACGCATAAAATCAAAAGTAAAAGTATCTTAGACTAGGTACTGAACAACTGAACATGTACAAAACCAAAGAGCTGAGTGTACTACTAAACAGGTTCTGTACATACATAACATCTTAAAGTCAAGAGGCCGTTCCTTCAATAAACTACATTGGTCGACAACTTAACGTCTCCTATATTGGTCGTCAAATGTACGGAGAAATATCTATCTATCAGATAAGAATTTAGCATGAGACATCTAGCGGCCAACATATCGCCACCCAAAGTACGTAAAGTACACGACCACTTTTTATGGAGAGACCGGGATCAGTGCACATTCACTGTATACAATGAGATTCAATAAACATGGTCAAGAACAGAAGTTTGCAAAAAAGAGCGGATTAAGCAGATCAAAAGAAAATAAGGGAAAAGATATACTCATGCAGAAAATGAATAGTTCTTCAAACTCGGCTCAACATGTAGTACTGTAAGTCCTCAGGCCGAATTTTAAGAATTTAAACCGCATGACTGAACCGCTAAAAACTGGTTCCAATTGAACACCAGCTCAAATCTCGAATCACTGAATACAATTTCAAGTGGAACCAACCATGTTTGAGCCGCAATTCAAATTTGAGACGTGGCCTCTGCACAGTACTTTATTATCTGAAAATGTAAAGCATATAAATGTCAGATCTAGTTTACCTAACTTGCTTCTAAAATACAAAATACTAGCTTGGTAACCCAGCGATATGCAGGTTACTTATATATAATTACTCTTGCCGTTTACCAGCACTTGGTTGATTTTACCAGGAAACTAAATTTGCTACTCCACTCAACTTAGTCTCTAAAAACCGAGCTAAGAACTTTTCCATGGTTCTCCAATATTCCCCAATCAAAATTTTAGGCAAATCAGTCAAGGGGTTCATGAGTTATGATCGGACAACAAAACAAACAAACAGACAAACAGAGATTACAACTTTAAATATATAGATATATATTAGCTAATCTTTAGAATAGCTAATAGAAATTACTTGATGATGGGTCAAATTTATTCTTATACTTCTAATTCTCTCAAACATGGTGTAAACTGATAATTTCATGATATATTTCATCTTTGATGACTAGAAAATCTACCATTTGAAAATCTTCTCCAACAACACTTTCAAAATAATCAATGGTTGGAGTAACTGCAGTTTCTTAGGATTATGTTGTTTCATCAGTTGATATTTGTTCAGCAGTAAATGTTTGTTCAGCTGTTGATGTTTGCTCATCTGTTGATGTTTGCTCATCTGTTGATGTTTGCTCATCTGTTGATGTTTGCTCATCTGTTGATGTTTGTTCAGCTGTTGATGTTTGTTCAGCTGTTGATGTTCGTTCAGCTGTTGGTGTTTGTTCATCTGTTGATGTTTGTCCAGCTGTTGATGTTTGTTCAGCTGTTGATGTTTGTTCAGCAGTAAATGTTTGTTCAGCTATTGATGTTTGCTCATTTGTTGATGTTTGCTCATCTGTTGATGTTTGCTCATCTGTTGATGTTTGTTCAGCTGTTGATGTTTGTTCAGCTGTTGATGTTCGTTCAGCTGTTGGTGTTTGTTCATCTGTTGATGTTTGTTCAGCTGTTGATGTTTGTTCAGCTGTTGATGTTTGCTCATTTGTTGATGTTTGCTCATCTGGTGATGTTCGCTCAGCTGTTGATGTTTGTTCAGCTGTTGATGTTTTTTCAGCTGTTGATGTTTGTTCAGCTGTTGATGTTTGTTCAGCTGTTGGTGTTTGTTCATCTGCTGATGTTTGTTCAGCTGTTGATGTTTGTTCAGAAGTAGATGTTTGTTCAACACTAGATGTTTGCTGAACAGTAGATGTTTGTTCAGTATTAGAAGTCTGCTCAGCAGTTGATGTTTTTTCAACAAAAGATGTTTGTTCCACTGTTAATGTTTTAGTCGTTTTACCAGCTCCTGTTGTTGTATCAGCTTCAGTTGTAGTAGCCACTTCGATTCTAGTAGGAACTTCAAAGGTTGTAGCAGCTTCAGTTGTAGTGGGAGCTTTAGTTGTAGTAGCATCAATTATAGTAGCTGTAGTAGCTGCTTCAGTTGCTGCGGCAGCTTCAGTTGTTGTAGCAGCTGTGGTTGTTGTAGAAGCTTCAGTTGTGGTAGCAGCTTCTGTTTTTGTAGCATCTTCTGTTCTTGTAGAAGCTTCTGTTGTTGTAGCAGCTTCAGTTGTAGTAGCAGCTTTAGTTGTTCCAGCAGCATCAGTTGTTGTAGCAGCTTCAGTTGTAGTAAAAGCATCAGTTGTTGTCGCTTCAGTTGTAGTAGTTGCTTCAGTTTCTGTGGCCGCTTCAGTTTTAGTAACAGCTTCTTTTTTTGTGGCAGCTTCTGTTGTTGTAGCAGCTTCAGTTGTAGTAGCAACTTCAGTTGTAGTAGCAGCTTCAGTTGTTGTAGCAGCTTCAGTTAATGTAGCAGTTTGAGTTGTAGTAGCAGCTTCAGTTGTAGTAGCTGCTTCAATTGTTATAGCAGCTTCAGTTGTAGTAGCAGCATCAGTTGTTGTACCTACTTCAGATGTTGTAGCAGCATCAGTTGTTGTAGCAGATTCAGTTGTAGTAGCAGCTTCTGTTGTTGTAGCCGCATCAGATGTTGAAGCATCATCAGTTGTTGGAGCTGCTTCAGTTTTTGTAGCAGCATTCGTTATAGTAGAAGTTTCAGTTTTAGTAACAGCTTCAGTAGTAACAGCTTCAGTTGTAGTAGTTGCTTCAGTTGCTGTGGCAGTTTCAGTTGTAGTAGCAGCTTCAATTGTTGT